GTCACCTGGACTTAGCCTGAAGTTTAGGGAGACGTTGATGCTATGTGACCCAGACTTAGTAAGTAAAGAAGGGTGTGAGTTCCACGAGGCTAAGTGACCCCAAGCTACAACATGATGATTACACTTATTGTTGTGTTAATGTGTGCAAATGTTCACAATTATACTTGTAACGTGCCTATATGTTGGATGCATGTAGTATAGTATGGTTATTTGTGTGGCAGTGAGCTTGTGAGCTCAGCGTATGTAATTTGTTTCCGTGCACAGGTTCTTAGGTGAACTCGTCGCCATATTTGGATTCCAGACTCGTTTGTCTTTTCAGAGTACATCTCGGTTATTGTAGAGGGCATGTACTATTATAGACCCTTTTATGTATTGAGTCGTAAACTCTATTATTTTTGTATTTACATATTTGGAGACTGATGTTGGGAGCTCCCCCCACATTTTGAATACTTATATTTTGTTTTATGTTATATGTATATGTCGACTTGGTCAAATGATTTTTTTTTTTAAAAATGGTTAGCCACTTAGGTGGTTCCGTGTAACATTCTAATTCACCAGATTTCAGGTCAGATCTGATTAGTGTGTTACATTTAGTAGTATCAAAGTGTCAGGTTCAGTATTTCCTAGGACATGCGGTTAGAGTCGTTAGATAACAAAGTGCGTGCCTCTAGAGTTTCAAACTCGCCCACAGTCAGGAGGATTGTGAAGAGAGTCGTGCCTCTCTAGTTGGATACACGGGTGACAAGTTCCTCCCTGAATCTATAGACTTAGGCATCTCGGAGGAAGCCGAAATAGATGGGACGACATTTTTTAGAGACTTCATGCAGACATTGAGGCACATCATTAGGGCCATTCCTATGGCACCTGCTGCACTTGCACCACATGTACTTCCCCTAATAGTTCCTTAAGGTCCCTCGTTGAGAGACTCTATCGGTATAAGTTGATTGACTTCCTAGAATTAAATGACGATGATCCTACAGTCGTAGACTACTGGCTCTGCGAGACTCTTCGCACCTTGCGATACCTTTAACTTACCCTGAGGGTAACCTCGAGTGCATCACCACCGTGCTGAATGGTGATGTGATTGACTGATGGGAGACCATAGAGATGGAACTGGAGCCCGATCGACCAACTTGGGAGCTCTTCCTGACATAGTTTAGGGAGACCAAATGTGTCTAGGATCGATTCAATAATATCAGCATGGGCTATGTCCGTTTTGGCATATAATTGAAATTGTCGATGAAGAATAGATGAGAGATTGGGGTACCATTTCGAGTAAGATCGAAAGCCAACAAGATTCTGGAGTCCTCACAAAGAGAGATATTGTAACTTAATTTCTCCATTGTTAGATTAAAGAAAATGATCACCCAGGCGGATACATTTCACAGGCTAAAAAACACGACCAAGACTACCGTTCCATTGGTTTTGCATGCTTGACGAAGGGTTTTCTACTTATTCACCTTATGTCCAGAATAGAGACCAAAGGTTTCTAGGATGATTCAATAATATCAGCATCGACCATGCCCGTTTTGGCATATAAAATGAATTCATCGAAGAAGAAGAGATGAGAGATTGGGGTACCTTTTCGAGTAAGCTTAAAAGTTGACAAGATTTTGGAGTCCACACAAAGAGAGATAATGTGACTTAATCTCTCCATTATCACATTAAAGAGTATGGGGGTAAAGGATCACCTGGCATATACCTTTCCCAGGCTAAAAAACACGACCAAGACTACTGTTCCATTGGACCTGCATGCTCGACGAAGTAACGCAATGCATGATAATATTGACAAGGATTTACTGAAAACCAGCATCTTGAAGAGTGTCTTCAATAAAAGACAATTGTATTCGAACAAAAGCTTTTTGTAGGTCCACTTTGATCGTCATCCGGCCAGTTTTGCCTTTCTTCAGCCATAGTATGAACCCTTCTTGGTTGGTGATAATATTTTCGGAGATGCTATGACCTTTGAGAAAGCTCGTTTGGTGATCAAAATGATTAAAGAGAGAACTTGTTGTAACCAAAGAACCAGGATCTTCGTGATAAGCTTATATAAGGTAGTGCAAAGGCTGATGGGTCGAAAGTCAAGAAAAGTCTCTGAGTTGTTTGTCTTAGAAATAAGGACCAGGACCATGCGATGGAGAGAGACATCCAAAGTATGATTAGTGAAGACCGAGTGGACCATTCGACATAATGATAGTTTGACAATGTCCCAATTTTTTTTTAAAAGAATTGAGCATGGAGACCATTTATGTCAAGGGCTTTCATCGGGGGCATGGAGAACAAAGCCACTTGTATTTCATCCTCAGAAGGGCAGGATATTAGAGAGTCATTCATTGAAGTGGACATTTGGGGAAGTGCCTTGAGATAGGGTAAGGGTCCGGATATGGTAACCGAGGTCTTGAAGGCGGCAGTCCAAAGTCATGTCTCTAAAATCTGAGTCGGTAGAGGAAGAAGAGGCACATCCTTTATAATCTTCAGAGTAGAGTGGCGTTGAAATCACCAATCAGAATCCAAGGTTCATGTGTATTGGGAGACAAAAAGTCTTTAGATGACCTCAAAGATGTCTTCAAAGAGTTGCAATAGGGCTAGTATAAGTAAATGTGGCTTGAAAAGATTGATTCTTGTATTTTATTCGACAATGAATAAATTGGAAATGGTACGAGAGCACATCAAGCTGAACATTATCGTAACAGAAGACCTAAATTCCACCAGATAACCCAACAGCTTTAATTCTGTGAGAATTAGGAAAACCTGGTTCTAAAATAGCGTTGTTTTCCTTGATCCGGTTGACTGAAGTTTCGACAAAAACATAGAAGTCTGACTTGTGGTCTCTGATATATTGGCCAGTGACCCTGATAAAAGTTCGGTTTCCGCACCCCTGTGCATTCCAAACAAACACTTTTAAATTCATAAAAAAAATGGGAAAAAAGATTATTGGTGAGGCCAGAATCATTTTATCATGGCTGAAGAGCCATCATCCTTCTGCCCTTGAAAATCATCAGACATCATAACATTACTGCTTGTATTTGGGAGAACATCATGGTGGTCAAACGGCTGGGAAGTGAGTTATCGGGCTGTTGTGGCAGTTCAACTGGAAGGTGCGCAAGAGTGCTTGGTGTTGTGAAGGTGGGGGTTGTTAAAGCCGGATAAACCAATTTCCGTTGGCGAAGCTGTAAACGGAAAAACAACTTATGTGTGTTGAGAGGGATTCAAAGAGGAGTTATGGGCTTTGTTCTTTGATATGCTTGCCTGGCTACAAGTGTTGTTGGAGTTTGCATGGGTTGCATCAATATTTAAATTTTTCACACCTAGGACTGTAACAAGTGGCTTTCTTAAAGGCATTTGAGATTTGCCTTTTGAATTTTGTTTTTTAGTTGGGTGTCTTGTGTTTTCCTTGTCTCGGTTGGCTATGGTCTTGTTCGAGGGAGTCGGAGTAGCATGAGCTAAAGGTACGGATTGGTCATTTGGCTCCGAGTCTTCAAGATCAGATATCAAATCAAAGAGATAGGATGTTGTATGGAGTCTGGTGCCTTTTTGGTTTTGGTTGCTCTCTTTACGTGGTCTGCGTTGCATCTTTTCAACAAGCATCCAATGACTATACGGAGTAGTTGGCTCCAAGGGTACTGCTAGAGCGGAAGTTTCAACTCGACTTTGCTCAGCCTCAGTCGTATTACTAGCTTTAAAAGGGCAAGAATTACAAGTATGGTCGTAAGTTCCGCGGCGAAAACAAACAACAGGTAGAGATTCATACTCTTTAAGCTGAAGACGTCCATTGATTACCCATTTCGAAAACAACGATTTTTTTAAATATTTATGTTGACGGTCATGCGAGCGAAGCTGCTTCATCGACCTTTATTAATTTAGTTTTTTAATGAAAATTAAACGAAAATTCTAAAAATCATTTTTAATAAAATATAACAAAAATTTTCTTATAATTTGCGGTTCCTTTATGAATTTAATTTTCTAAAAATTGAGAATAGGATCACGATTTAAAAAATACTATGTACAATTAACTTTTTTTTCTAGGTTGTTCAAAAGTGAAATAAAAGCTTCATATTCCATTTGTTATGGGATTAGAGTTTTGGTCAATGATCCATATGATTTTAGATGATAAAATCAATGGTTTAAGGCAATCTATAAAATAATTCATGAGAACCTAAAATTATTTAAGATTTATTTAAGGTTTAAAATTTACTTCTTTTCCATCATGCTTATACATCATGTCAGCTAACATGTTTGATATTTTATAATTTTGTTGAAATAAAAAATTTTATTTTGTTTTATAATTTAGTTCGTTATATTTAATAATTTAGTTTATTTTTTAAAAATTATAATTAAAATATTATATATTTTTTATTTCTAAATATTCTACTTTTGAAATTTGTTATTAATTTTTTAAAATAATCAAATTATATTTTATTTATAATCTAAGAATTAAATTAAATATTATTTATTTTTGTTAACATATGTTGTCAATAAATTTAAAGATAAAGTACAAAAATAAATTTCCGACTATAGGTCGTTTAAGTCTTCGACTATTGAATGATATAAAATAGTTCTTTAACTATAAAGTCCTACTTTGTTGAGTGTATTGATTATTAAAAGTTACAAAATAATCATCTGACTATTCATAAATTCCAAACATGTTATCTTCTATTAAAAAGTTAGTAGTAGATTGAGTTCAGTGTTAACATGCTCATTACGATAAAATAAAAAAAACGTGTCATAAAAAATAATAATATTAACTATCATAGTATAATTTGCTTAGTATAACCAATAATATGATATATTAATCAATTAATCTGAATCGAATACTTAATATAACATATGAGAGATTAAAAGTCAAATGTTTGAAGTCAAAGGGTGGCGAAGAAATGGGTAACGCGTTTTCTTCTGTTAGTAAAATTATTAATTTATCACTTGTTTAATTGACTTGGATTCTTTAATCCTTGCTTTGATATTTTATTTCGGATCCTTAATTTAAATTGCATCTCTTTGCATTATATAGCTTCAATTTCTCTGTCCAAATGGATTCCTTCTTCGTTTCTGCAACTCAACTCCAAGAATGTTAAACCAAGGTATGGATAACATCCTTTGTTTTTTGCTTATATTTCATCTCCTTTTAGTTTCTGGGTAGATGATAGGTTGAATTTTATTATCCTTCTATTTTTTTATTCTTTCTGTTTTATGGTAAGTGACAGTTTTGAAAATATTTTTCAGGGTAAGCACATGTATTAATAACGAAAAATTTTCATATGAAATGGACACAAATAAAATTTCAGATCTTCAGTAAAATAAATACTAACATAAAAAAAATTTCAACGTAAACAACCTTTAACAAAATGAACAACTAAATATAAAAATTATCGACCATTATTATATCATCTCCTCTTCAATTTAATATTTAAAATTCATGATAGAGAAAAATTATAATTTTTTATGGATTTTATAATTGTATTATCTAAGAATTTTATAATCTTCTGCAAAATTAACTATAGTTTCATCATTTTTTAGAGGCATGTATATATTTTTGGGTAAACTACACGGTGACTATCGAATTATGGTCATAAATTATTTTGACTACCAAACTATTTAAATGGTTCAATCAAGACACTGATCGTTAATTTTTAACAGAGATGATGGCGTAGCAGTTAATACAATTGTCATAATTATATATTTGATACTTAATATTTACACATTCTATCATTTTAGTCATTATTTTAAAATCAATTAAATAAATTTAACCCTCTAATCCATCTTCAAGTATAACTATTGTATAATTATCAACCATTATTATATCATCTCCCCTTCAGTTTAATATTTAAAATTCATGATCGAGAAAAATTATAATATTTTATGGATTTTATCATTGTATTATCTAAAATTTTTATAATTTTATGCAAACTTAACTACAATTTTATCATTTTTGAGAGGCGTGTATATATTTTATGATGCTATATTTTTTATTAGGCGGTGATTAAAAAGTAGTATATGTTTTAAATATTTTCAATTATTTGACAATTAATGTTCAATCACTCTACTGTAAATGTAGGTGCTCGAAACCGTGACCTCTAAAAACAAAATAATCCCTTTATGATGTTATATTATTAAAACAAAATTATTTTCAATCATATAATTTGATCTGTATCTACTTATGTATAAGATAAATCTACTATTCCTAAGGATGTTATCTTTATTCTTTTCCCAAGGCTGTTCAAATTTGAAAGCTTGAAAACTCCTTACGGCTGCCAATGCCAGAAGGTTAAATCCCAATACAAGACCCTTTTTTTTTTTAATTTGGGAGACGTAGAAATATGGAGAACCCTTTAAAAATGGTACCCAATTTCAATCTCAATTTTCAAAGGATCCTAAAAACACATGAAAAATGTATAAAAATTCAAAACACACACGCATCTCTATTTCATATTTACATTTGAATTAGAGTAATATAAGATTTCACTCTTCCCTATTTGTATGTTGTTCTTTTTTTGGGAAAGTGGAACAAAAAGATGGGAAGTTGCATGTTCAGTTTCATTATCCTTTTCAGGTTCATTGATAAGTTCACAGTTGACGCAACTTTAACCAATTTCCTAAGCCACTGCAATATAAGTTGGAGACAGTTAAACAACTGTAAGATCTAAGCTCAGGTTGAAATGAAAATGGATAAAACAGATGGATACATTTTCATGGTTATTATGATCGGATCTCTAGCATTACTTGGAATAGTTCAAGCCCAACCAAGAGCTCAAATAGTGAATACGACATGTGGCTCTCGAGAGAATAACAGAACTCAAGTCGTTTCCAATTTCATTCTTGTAATGGAGGAACTTAATGATCTTATCCATCAATTCGGTTGGGGAACTGCATTTAATGGTTCAGGGCCTGATGCTAACTATGGCCTAGCTCAGTGTTATGGGGATCTATCTTTGACTGACTGTCCATTGTGTATTGCGGAGGGGCGTGCTGTTCTTCCTCTGTGCTTTCCGAAAGTTGGTTCCCGAGTTTTCCTCGACGGGTGCTTCATGAGATCCGATAACTATAGCTTCTATGATGAGTACTTGGGACCATATGACAAGGTTGTGTGCGGGAATACAAGCCGTAAGGGATCAAACTTTCAAGCATCAGCTAGAGAAGCAGTGTCTCGGGCGGTGACTACTGCACTGGATAATGGAGGGCATTATGCTAAGGCGCAGGTGGCGGGGTCTGGATTGAATGAGACGGCTTATGTTTTGGTTAATTGTTGGAAGACATTGAACCGGAGTGCTTGTGAAGCATGTTATGAGAATGCATCGGCGGCTATGTTAAGGTGCTTGCCATGGTCAGAGGGACGAGCACTCTACTCTGGCTGCTTCATGAGATACTCTGATACAGATTTCCTCAATAAAGAACCTGGAAATGGGAGTTCAAGAGGTAAAACAAATTTTAGCTTCGTATCACCTATTCTGCACATTGAAAAAAAGTTGACCAAATGTGACTTGTATTCATGATTTTACAGGAACCATTATATCTATAATTGTTTCCACTGTCAGTTCCCTTGTTGTTTTGGCTGTTCTTGCAGCTATTGGAACTTATATCTGGAAGCGCAGATACATACAAAAGAAAAGAGGTAGTAAAAAGCTTACCTACTGAATCATATGATTAGTTCAATTTGTTCATGCAGTCATCTCGACTGGACAATTTGAATTCTGACAGTTGCAACTTCTTTTCCTTTCTGTCACACTAAAGAAGCAAAAGAACAAACGTCCTAGAATGTCAGCTAAGATTTTCAATTACATGGAACTATTACGATTTTCTACCTGGAAATGTGGTGAACCTTGTCTTCATTGCTAAAATGTTTTTGAATTCCAGATCAAAATGATGCAGACCAGTGGGTGAAAGTCCTTCGTGACAGTAGCTTAAATTTCAAATACTCTACACTCGAGAAGGCAACAGGTTCGTTTGACGAGGCGAACAAGCTTGGACAAGGAGGATTTGGGACAGTTTATAAGGTAGTTTTTCCCACCAGTTTCCACTGCTCTTCTTCAGCCATTTATCTGGTATGCTATGGTTAGTGATTCATTTTGTCATCTGTAGGGGACTCTACCTGATGGAAGAGAGATAGCTGTCAAGAGACTTCTCTTCCACAATCGACACCGAGCCGCAGATTTCTTCAATGAAATCAATATAATAAGCAGTGTGGAGCATAAAAACCTGGCGAGATTGTTGGGATGTAGTTGTTCCGGACCCGAAAGTCTTCTCGTCTATGAGTTCCTTCCTAACAAGAGCCTCGATTCATTCATCTTCGGTAACACCAATATTTACTTCCAATATCGATAGCAAAGCTTAAATTGATACTGATATATCACTAACAGCTTTTTTCTATAAACAGATCCCAGAAGAGGTAAAGAACTTACCTGGGAAAAGAGGTACCAAATTATCATTGGGACGGTAGAAGGTTTAGCATATCTTCACGAGAACCCCGCAAACAAAATCATTCACAGGGATATAAAAGCTAGCAATATCCTGTTGGATTTAAAGTTTCGTGCCAAAATTGCTGATTTCGGTTTGGCGAGGGCTTTCGATGAAGATCGAAGTCATATCAGCACTGCTATTGCTGGAACACTGTAAGCATCATCTTGGTTTAACATATTCGAAAGCTTCTCATGTTCGAATTAATTATGTCTACTTTTATGACACACAGAGGATACATGGCTCCAGAATATCTAGCCAAAGGCAAGTTAACGGACAAGGCCGATGTTTATAGTTTCGGTGTTCTTTTACTAGAGATGGTAACCGGAAAACAAAATAATGGAAGCGGACACACGGATTACTCAGACAGCATAATTGCAGTTGTAAGTTTCAAACAATCCCTCCTAAGATTTTCCCACTTGGATCATGACTTTAAATAAAGCTGATATTAATTCTTTTTGTGGGTTAAATAGGCATGGAACCACTTTCAATCAGGGACTGCAGAGGAGATTTATGATCCGAATATAATGCCAAAAGATATCGACCAATGTAACAGTGTCAAGAGTCAGATATACAGAGTGTTGCATATCGGACTTCTTTGCACCCAAGAGAACCGATCACTAAGGCCGTTCATGTCGAAGGTACTACAGATGCTAACCAAGAAAGATGAAGACCTTCCGGCACCGACGATTCCTCCTTTTGTGAATGAACAAACCATGGAATTCAATGATACGGATGAGAACGAATACTACCTTCTCAATGCAGGGGGTACTAACTCACTCGCCACCATCGATCACAGTTCATTTCACCCGAGATGATGTTTGAAGCCAGATGAAGACGAAAGAGTATATTCTTTCTGTTGTGGAATTCGGGTTAATTTCCACCAATAATAACAAATTCACCTTGAGAACTATTATCTAGGTGACTACTGTGAAAACGATTGTACTAAAAATCACACCAAGTTAGATTCCCAGGAAAGAGGAGGGGTCACAATGGTCCCTCTTAAAATCCACTTTCCTTAGACAGAACTACCAAGACAAGTAATTTTAATAGGACAATAATTAACAACAACTATACCCGACAATAGCTATTAAATAGACATAAAGAGAACACCAAACTTTAACGAGATTAGGCCAAAATTATGCCTACCTCCTCGAACACTACTAAAATAATATTTCACTAGTAGAGGAAATATTACAAAGAGAAAGAAAGAATACAAATAGCCTTTAATATAGAAAAAAGCTTATTTTTGTGGGATGCTAAACTAAAGAGGATGAGGGTTCTATTTATAACAAAAGAATTTCCCCTCCTCCTTATACAAAACCAATGTGAGATATTTGCCAAAAACCAACAAATCTCCACCTTGGCAAATTCCACACACGTCTCTCAAAAAATCCAATCTTCAGTAATGTCTGCAAATTCATCTTTCAATTTGTAACAATATTGACCAAGTCTAAATAATGTTTAAACTTGACCGCAGTTACCACTTTTGTTAACATATCAGCAGGATTCTCAGTGGTCCGAATCTTCTGGATTATGACTCCACCTTCTTCTAGAATCTCTCGTACAAAGTGATATCGAACATCGATGTGCTTCGTCCTTGCATGGTAAACTTGGTTCTTTGCTAAATGAATAGCACTCTGACTGTCACAGTGCACTTTGATGTGCTTTTGTTCCATTCCCAATTCACCAAACAACGCTTGAAGTCAAATTGTCTCCTTCACAGCCTCTGTAACTGCCATATACTCTGCCTCTGTAGTAGACAAAGCCATTGTTGACTGTAAGGTGGACTTCCAACTGACTGGTGCTTTTGTAAATGTAAACACATAACCAGTAGTTGATCGACGCTTGTCCAAATCACCTGCATAGTCTGAATCACAATACCCAACTACACACTGACCATCTTGTTTGTCCTGCTGAAAGACCAAACCAACATCTACGGTGTTCAGAATATACCGCAAAATCCATTTCACAGCTTCCCAATGCTCCTTTCCAGGATCATACATATACCTGCTCACAACCCCAACTGCCTATGAAATATGGGGTCTCGTACACACCATTGCACACATTAAGCTACCAACAGCATTTGCATACGGAACCTTTGACATGTATTCCCGTTCTGCATCATCCTTAGGTGACATGGATGCACCGAGCTTGAAATGAGGAGAAAGAGGTGTACTAAATGGTTTTGACTTCTCATTCATGCCAAAACGTTTTAGTACCTTCCTCAGATATTCTTTCTGAGACAAACAAAGCCTCCCCAATTTCTTATCCCTTGATATCTCCATGCCTAGAATCTTCTTTGCTTCACCAAGATCCTTCATCTCAAACTCCCTGTTCAATTGAGTCTTTACTTTCGCAATTTCTGTCTGACTCCTGGAAGCTATCAGCATATCATCAACATAAAGAAGAAGATATATATAGGATCCGTCTTGTAGCTTGCGTAAATACACACAATGATCATATTTGCTTCTTGTGTACTTCTGCCCTATAATAAACTTATCAAATCGCTTGTACCACTGCCTTGGAGATTGCTTCAATTCGTATAGTGATTTTTCTAATTTGCACACTATCTCTTCTTTTTCAGCAACTTTGAATCCATCTGGCTGAGTCATGTAGATTTCCTCATCCAAGTCTCCATGTAAAAATGTAGTTTTTACATCCATCTGAACTAGTTCCAAATCCAACTGTGCTACCAAAGCCAACAAAATTCTGATGGAGGAATGTTTTACAACTGGAGAAAATACTTCATTATAATCAACTCCCTCCGTTTGAGCGTAGCCTTTAGCCACCAATCTTGCTTTGTAGCGGATGTTATTCTTGTTAGGAAATCCATCTTTCTTTGCATATACCCACTTGCACCCAATTGCCTTCTTTCCCTTCGGAAGACTAGCTAGTTTCCAAGTCTGATTCTTTTGAAGGGATTGCATTTCTTCATTCATGGTGATCCTCCACTTTTTATGTTCTGAACTTTGTATAAGTGGCAGGAACGTCATCAATTGCAATTGGTGATTCAAAAGAGACCATATTAGCATAACGAGCAGGTTGTCTAATGGTCATCTTTCCCTTTCTGAGTGCAATTGATTCATGTTGCTGTGGAGGTTCTTGGGTCTGAACCTCTTCTTCATCTGACTCTTCTTCTACCATAGGAGAGTCAACATCAGTTTCTTTACTGGCTGGGTCAATTCTGCTTCCTTCAAACTCCACCTGTTTGGGAGTTCCATCTGTCTGCTCCAATTTTTTGAAGTCACCTTTCTCAACATGGTAGATTCATCAAAGGTAACATCCCTGCTAAAGATTATTTTCTTTGTTTCTGGACACCAAAGACGATAGCCTTTCACACCAGAGGTGATCCCCATAAAGATCGCATTCTTTGCTCTTGGATCCACTTTGACTCCTTAACATGGTAGTATACAGTGGAACCAAAAACATGTAAGGAATCATAATTTGTAGCAGGTACTCCAAACCATTTCTCTAATGGTGTTTTACCACCAATAGCAGTCGATGGTAAGCGGTTGACAAGGTGACAAGCATAGACCAAAGCCTCAGCCCAAAATTCTTTACCTAACCCAGCATTAGTCAACATACACCGAACCTTCTCCACTAATGTTCGGTTCATACGCTCTGCCACCCCATTCTGTTGTGGTGTACTTCTGACAGTGAAATGCCTGACAATACCTTCTTCTTCACAGAATTTCAGAAATGGATCATTTTTGTACTCTCCACCATTGTCTGTACGGAGACGTTTGATTTTTCTTCCTGTTTGAGTCTCCACCATCTTTTTCCATTTAAGGAAAAATCCTAGCACCTTATCCTTTGTCTTCATTGTATACACCCAAACTCTCCAAGAAAAATCATCAACAAATGTGACATAATAGTGTGTTCCTCCCAATGAAGTTGTCTTGGAAGGCCCCCATACATCTGAATGAACATAATCCAAAATACCTTTAGTATCATGGATTGCTGTTCCAAATTTCACCCTCATCTTCTTCCCTTTGATGCAATGCTCACAAAAAGCTAATTTGCAAGCACGAGCACCCTTCAATAATCCTTGATCTATCAGCAATTTCAAGGATTTTTCACCAACATGCCCCAAGCGCATATGCCATAACCTGGTTGCTTCTGACTCATGTTCATCAGTAGAAGCTGCCACTGCTGCTGTCCCAACAATTGTACTACCCAGAAAGTAATACACATTGTTTCTTTTCCGGATTCCCTTTATTATCACCAGTGCACTAGAGATAATCCTCATAATCCCATCTTTTTCCCTCACTTCTAAACCTTTTGACTCTAAGGTTCCCACAGAGATGAGATTTCTCATTAAATCTGGTACATAATGGACACTTGTTAAGGTTCTGATTGATCCATCCTGATTCCTTAAGTGAATTAAACCAATCCCAAGTGTGTCAAGAGGGGAATTATTTGTTGTGTAGACAATTCCACCTTTTAGTTCTTTAAAATCAAAGAACCATTCTCTATTGGGGGTCATATGGTGGCTACAAACTGAATCTAACAGCCATGAACTGGAACAACTGGTTGATGGCGTAGCAGCGAATGCGAAATCTGAATCTGCATCATCATACTCGACCACATTGGATTCTGAGACAACCTTTGCCCTTTCAGGTTTGCCTTTGTTCTTTAGCCTGGGATATTCTTTCTTCCAGTGCCCCTTTTCTCAACAAAAGGCACATTAATCTTTGCTCAATCTGGACTTTGACTTCGATCTCACTCTCTTTCCTTTATTCTGACTCTTCGAACGGCCTCTAATAACAAGAGCTTCTGCTTCGACACTTGTGTTTTCTTGTTTGTCTTTCTTTCTCAATTCATAACTATACAAGGCATCAGTTATTTCACTGAGAGACATATCAACTTTTCCATGAAGTAGAGTAGTTTCAAGATACTCAAACTCATCAGGAAGTGATCTGTTGAGTTAATCGATTGACGGAATTGGCCAAGAGGGGGGTGAATTGGCAATTAAAAATTTGGTGGAAGCTTTTGCAGAAAATTGAAAGTAATTGCACAGCGATTTAGAGTGGTTTGACTTTCTCAATCAAAGTCTACGTCCATTACCTTAGCTATCCACACTAAGGATTTTCCAACAAATTCACTAATTTGTTCTTTCTTTTGAGGCCAAAGAGATAACCTTACAACACCCTCAAGAATATACCCCAATTCTTGAGAACACTCTTTCCCAAAGAGAAGATTATAAATTTGCAAACTTACAAGGAAAACCTCACAAGGTAAGATGTTTGCACAATTCTAGAACAAGAAAAGAAAACTCACAAATAATTACAAATGACCACAAATGGTGTTCTTTGAAAGCAAAATGAATATTGAAAGGAAAATTGGCTTGATTTGCACAAACTTTGTGTTTGATGCTTTCACTCTTGTTTCTCTATAATTTCTTGTTGATCAAGGGCTTCAGAACTTGTTTAAATACACCTTGAATCACTTCTGAATGTTGGGGATGATTAGTGAAGATCATATAGCCGTTTTAGTGTGAAAACAATTAATAAAACAACTTGGAGCGTGGGGGGAATCGGTACCCCCTATGGGGAATCGGTTCCCTAAGTGTAAAATTCAAATATTTCGACCGCTATAAAAGGGGGAGAATCGGTACCCCCTGGGGGGGAATCGGTTCCCTCCGAGCATACTGGAATTCTCGGAGCCAAACCATTCAGGGGGAATCGGTACCCCCTTAGGGGGGAATCGGTTCCCTCTGAGCAATCTGAAATTTTTGGCTTTAAAATGGTTCGAAATACTTTGTAAAATTATTTTGAAATTATTTTAAGATTAAAACTTAATTTTACACTTTGAGTAAGGATTAAAAATG